GCCTCCCCCTTTTACCCTCCCTTTTAAAAATTTCCTATTTATTATGAAAAATGTCAAACATACCCAAACACAGATGGGTTAACAGAAGACAGAGTTCCCCACACTTGAGCGAGTGTCAGCACCCCCCCCCCAACACACAGACACACTGGGGGCATGTTGAAGCCCAGCAGGCTGGACTCCATCCCAGAGGCTCTGACTGGGAGGGCCTGGGGGTGGGAGGCGATTCTGCATCTCTAACTCTTCCCCAGGTGTGCTGATGCTCTGGCGGGGGGGGGGGTGCACACTGTGATAGAAGGCCCACCAGCCAGCCCGGCCGCTGTCAGCTTATATCCCTTCAGAACCCCCCTTCCCCCTCCCCCCTACTTATTAGAAGGCAAATCTGATGGCAATCATATACTATTTCATCTTAAATATTTTTTAGTATGTATCTCAACAAAGACGTGGTGGGGAGCAGGAGGAGGCTTACGGCCCAGAGCTCTGCCTTTCCTGGAGCCCTTGAAGGCAGATGCTGAGGGCTTGACGCCTGTCTCCTGACAGCTCTTGTAGGAAGGGAAGGGGGCAGCCCAGGACCGGCAGGAAGGGCCAAGCCAGCTTGCCCTGCTGCCGCCCCGGGAGGTGCCCTGAGGTCACAGAACGAGCTTGGTTACAGGTCAATCAGGGAGCATCCCAGGAGCAACACGGGAGCTGAACAACGAGGCAGCGGACTCCTTGCTGGGCAGGGTGCGCGGTCTTGTTTTCCAAGCTTGCTTTTCTGAATCCCTGTGCCTTTTGGACTTTCTGTCTTACATCCCACAAACCCACCCCTTTCCGTCCTTCCAGTTTCAATGGACCATCACCCTCTTCCTTAAGTTGGGGAGTTTAGGGGGATTGAGGTGATGGCACTCCCTGACTCTGAGCCCCACACAGGCCCTGGGGGGCGAGCTGGGGTCAGCAGGCAGGATGTCCCGTCCAGGTTTGGGGAAGCACCCTGTGCATCACAAGCATCGGGTATGGCACGTGGGGTTTCTTCACCAGGGTTCTCTGGCTGCTGGCACACACGGGCTTGGGACCCTAGGCTCCTGGCACCCCGCCAATGCCCTCTGGCCACCCTGCTTTGCTTCATCCCACCTGTTCAGGTTCACAGGATTGCTGGCTCAAAGCAACCTCTGCCTGCCTCCTAGATTCCCTACTGCCTCCCTCAGCCCCTTCCCGTTCCCCACGTAGCAGCCAGAGTGCTAGTTCTCAAACAGAGGTCAGCCCCTCCATGTCCCTTTGTAAAACCCTCCAGTGGTTTCACATTCCTTCAAGATAAGGTTCCAGAAGATACAGGGGCTGAGAGCTAGGGCCCATGACCCAAGCTCTCTGGCTTCTCCACCTTGTCCCACATTCCAACTCCCCAGCCCTGGCTGTCTCCTCCAGAGACCAGGGACCCACACCGCCATCTACAAGTCCTTCCCTGGTTGTGTCTGAAGGTGCTACAAGGTTGGGTGGGCCTGGGCTGGCCATCACCAGTAACTGCTGTCCCTCTCCACCAGCTAAGTGCAGAAGTGAAAGTAAGCATTGGAAACTCTCCTGCAAACTGTAACATAGCTGTGACCTCAAGAGTGAGTTTATAGTTCACAAAGGTGGCAGGTGGTGATGGGTTTGTCCTGCACACAGAAGCACTGGCCCAAGGCATGGGGGGAACCCAAGAACCCTTGCCTGGCCTGAGGCAATGGGACGGCAGTGCTGGCATCGCAGGAAACGCTGTGGGGAATGAATTCCTGTTTGCTTATCACCGTGGTGGACCAGAGCTGTTTTGTATTTTTTGTTCACTTCATGACTTGATCATATTTCTTTCTGGTGACTTCACAGGGATCGTTTGGGGGATCATGGTCTCTTAGGCTCTGGGTTGGGCTCTTTCATGTTCTTGGTAACATCAGTGTTTCAGGCTAAATTGTGTCATCAGACTCTCTAGTCTTTCATTCAGGCCTCTCGGGCCAGGACCAGGCTTGTGATGCTGGTCACAGTCGTGTGCTCACGAACTTGGTCATGCAGAGGTGTTTGGACCGGTTTAAATGTCTACACCTGTGTCTGTTGGTGTTTAATTAGTTGGATTCCCAGAAGAGAACATGATTTTTACCACTTCCTATGTGACAGGCGTCTCGCTTCCCGGGTGTGAGTCCCATGCAAACTCTAAGAGAGGAAGATGTTTCACAAGGCAGCAATCACAGCGATTTGAAATCGTACTGCCTGCGAAGTTTAGCCCTTTTCTGAATTTGAACTGAAGGTCAAGTGACTACAGCTGATACAGCCTCATAAGGAACTTACTCTGTGACTTGGTTCATTCCCACAATTCCTTTATCATCTGGGCCTGGGTCCCTCAGATCCGGAGCTCTGGTGGGTTTTAGTCTGTTGGTGCCATTCTCCTCATGACCGGGACAGACTTTCTGGATTGGACCTGATGACCATAAGAGTGTGTGGGCCAAGACGGGAGCCACTTCCGGGGTAGAGGGAGGCCCACGGGGTAGCTGAGATGTAGTCTGTGTGGTCCGATGGAATGTTATTTTGGAAGCCTGCCTGTCTGGTAGGAGGTCACACCAGGGGTCAGGGACTGCATGTTCACGGAGGTGGTATCCTTGGGGATCGTTGGTCCAATCCCAAGCAGAGCTACAGGAAGGCAGGGTGGGACGGGATGGGTGTATGCAGCTCAGACTCCCCTCAGGTCAGAGACACTAGCCCTGTGACACCAGACCCCTTATCTCTTGCTGCCGGCAGGAGGGTCTGTCTGACTTCCAGATCCTCTTTAAAGGGCTCACCTAATTAGGTGAGGCCCACCTAGGATCATCTATCTTTTGATTAAGTCAGCTGACGAGAGACCTTTATTATTTTTGTGTTTCTTTGGCCCTGAGACATCACCTAGTCACAGGAACGGCATCACTCCCACTCACGGTGCTGCCCACGCTCAAGGGGAGAGGATTTTGTGGAGCAAGTGCAGCAGGGCAGGAATCTTGGGGACCCCCGAGAATCGGACTGCCACCCTCCTCTCTGCCTGTGTCCCCCCAGCAGCCCTCCCTTCTTCTGTCCCTTTTCCTGTCTCTCACATTCCTGCTCCGTCCCTCCCCTTCACCCTCCTGCATGCCCTCCCTTCTCTCTTCCTAACCACTTCTCCTGCCCCCCAGTCGTGGTCCCAAGCTGGTGGCTCTGGCGGCCTGGGCTGTACCAGCACAGACACAGACCCGGAGCCAGCAGGCAGGGGGCCGGGCCTCCCTGCAGCAAGGCAGGGAGGCAGGCTGCACTCAGAGTGAACCTAGTCCTCTTGCTGGCCCCGCCAAGCGGCCATAGCATTTCAGCGTGGCCGGGTGTCAGTCACACAAGCCTTCCCCTCCCCTCCCCTGAGCTCTGCTGGATCTTTTTAGGTCCCGAGTGGCCCCTCACACAGTGTAACATGGTTTAGAAAATTGAAAATGGTGCCAAGGTATCAATGTTCTGAGGCAGTTGTGAAATTTGACCCCCCCACCACCCCTGACTTGAGGGACCTGGGCTCGGGTTGATAGAGGAACCACACGAATGAACCAAGTTACAGAAGAAATTCCTTATAAGGCCACACACCAGCCAGTCTCTGACAGATGAGCTATGGTCAGTTTTCAACCCAGATTCGAATTCAGACAAGATAAATTTGTGAGTCAGTTATCAGTGTGGCATGGGGGACCCGGGCATCCTCGACACTGATGGGAGCCTGGTCCTGCGGGACAGGCTGAATGATGACACCTGGGTCACCTCCTGTTTGCTGGCCCGCTGGCCACACTGGAGGAGCTCTGGCTGCCTCTCCCGGCCCTGCTTTAACACCTAAAACTATCAACAGAATTGTCAGTGGAAGAATTACAAGTGTATTCATTCCCCCAAAGAAACTAAGTGGAAAGAAGGTGGAATTTGCTTGACACCAGAAAACCCAAATCCCGGTGCATGTGCACCACGTCCTCACGGAGCCGTTTGCTGTACCGGCTGAAACAGTGAATGGACAGATCTGTGGAGTGGGAAGCAGTGTTTGAGTGGCAGGTTCAAGGGCACAAGTCAGCCCCGGTCTAGTGTTTTAATGGTCTTCAGTACAGTTTGGCTAAATAGCTATCCAAGTTGATAAATAGTTACATGGAAACGGTTTGTTTTGTTTTGTTTTCATGTAATGCTTCCAACAGCTAGGACCCACCGACTATCCTGCTCTGGTCTTGTCTTGAGGAAAGATGAGCTTCCTGGCGCTGTGGATGTTGGAGGGGGAGCAGAGGGCAGCAGGGTGTCCTGAGAGGAGACTAGACAGGAGTTCTGGAATGTAGTGTCAGAGTCCTAGCCCTGTGCCCTGGGACAGGTCCAACAGCCTCTCTATGCGTCCACTTCCTGCTTTGTAAAAGGAATGGTCCTGCCCAGCTCTGATGCTTTGCTCTATGCAGTAGTCTGTCGTAGTTCCAGAGGAAGGCACGCTGCCCAGCCCTGCCACTTGGAGGCTGTGTGACCTTGGTCAAGTTACGTGCCCTCTCTGTGCCATAGTTCCCTCCTCTATAAACTGGGGGATGTTGTAAGGGGTATGTGGCACAATATTTATAAAGTCCTTAGAGCTGTGCCCACTTAGGGGAGCCTGGGGGGCTCAGTCGGTTGAGCGTCTGCCTTCAGCTAGGGTCATGCTCTCAGGGTCATGGGATTGCCACATGTCGGGCTCCCTGATCAGTTGGGAATTGGCTTCTCCTTCTCCCTCTGCCCCTTTCTCCTGCTCATTCTCTCTCTCTCTCAAATAAGTAAATAAAGTCTTTTATAAACAACAACAGCAACCATGCCTACTTGGCATTTAGTAAGGGCTCCGTAAATGGTAGTGATCCTTATTGCGGTAACTACTGCTACCGTCATTCCTGCTGACCTTTAACTCGTATGAGTCTGTGATGTGTTACGGTGTATTTATTAAACTCCGAACAAAGTCTCTTACTAACGGCCTCATCGTTCACACGAAAGGAGCCACTGATCCGTCTGCTAATAAAATCCCCCGTGTGTTTCAGGCGGAAGCAAGGCTGGCGGCGAAGCGCGCGGCCCGTGCCGAGGCTCGGGAGATCCGAATGAAGGAGCTGGAGCGGCAGCAGAAAGAGGTAAGGCTCGAGGTTCTGTGCGGGTTCCTTTCACAGGTGTTTTCATTTTGGGTAGAGCATGCAGGTGCAGAGACACCTGTTGCTGTTGACGCACCTGTCTGCTTGACAGTGCTCATGATTGGAATGCGCCGTGCCTGTCACTTTTGTTCAAGGTCAGGCCAGGGAGTGCGCATAGCACGGATGCCAGGCGTGCCTGTCCCAGACCTCGACCTGCTGGGTCCTGAGACAGCCTCCCGCGCAGCCACTCGCCTGCCTACATCCAGCCCAGCCTTCTAGCCAAAAGGAGCCAAGAGCTGCTGGTTCTGAACCTCAAGGTCAAACCGTCCAGCCAGAATCTCAAGCCTCTGAGTTAAAATGTGAAAGAACAGAATATTATTTTTTTAAACTAACCAAACTATTTTGTTTAAAAATATTTCCCCTTGAGGCTTTTACCTGTTTTAGTAAGTTTCGTGATGCCTGAAGCCCATATGTGGTACAGAAAACAGAATATACACCATGGGGGGGGGGTGGGATAGCTGGGAAGAAACTGCCGCCCCACCCCCCGCGCGCCAAGGGAAGGTGGACAGGAATGGGCTTACACACCTGTTAATGTAGTCCGCTACTTATTTTCGTAATCTTGAGCTACAGCCTAGGTCGTGTGGACAGCGCGAGGACTCTTGACCTTGTGGTTAGAGCAGTGAACTTTTCTGTGACCTTGAAGTCCACGTGGTGAAGGAAGCAGACCCGTGTTCTCTGTGGGCTGCACCCTGTGGGAGGATCCACACCAGGCCCCACTGCAGGGCTTCTCTTGGTTAGAACATTTGAATTTGCCAAGCCGGAGAGAGGCAGCCAGCTGCTTTTCCCAGGGCTGATTTTGCACAGCCAGAATTTTAAAGCTGAGCCAGTGTTTATAAAGCACGTGAGATTTCCAATAAAAACCTGCGTTTCCAGTTTCTCTTCAAATCCTTGTGGATTCCACCGCTCACCCTCACATTCCCTGGGGTGGGGGGGTGGGGGGGCCGCACCTGCCTGAGGTGCTCCTTGTTGCCTTGTTGCCATGCCCTGCATGTGGAAGTAGCATGCCCCAGGGTGAACAGGTTCAGGCAGAACCAGATTTGAATTTGGGGAAGAAATCTCCTCCATGGGGTTTGAAGAATGGATTACAGATTGCTAGAAGCTCTGGGCCAGGATGTTACTTAGGAGAGTTAAACTACAGACCTGGTGGCTGGAGGCTGAGGGGCCCCCTGTGATGGGGACATGCAGGGATGTGGTTCCTGAGAGAAGGGCCCCACCACCCTCCAGCGGGGCCTGGGAAGCGACCTGAGCCGAAGGGCAAGCGGCGGCTCTTCTACAATGCCTTAGGTGTTTCTCGTCCTGTGTCTACAATGCAGGAAAAGCCTAAAATATTTGAAGGTAATTTATCACATCCTCCCCCCTCATTAGAAATACAAATACAGTTGCAACTAAGTTCTAGTTTTGAAGCTGTTCTGCCTGTAGAATTAACTTCTACTTGGATTTCTTGTACTATTTCTCTTAATTTATGAAAAGCACAGGTTTGGCACTTTCCCAGTGCTTTCCCCTGAGAATCATGGTCGTCATTTTAAAACTGGAAATAGGCACTCTGGAATTTTTGCGTGGGTGATTTGGACTCACCCGTCGCACCGATGTCTACCGGGATGCGCCCCCTCCCGTCATCTCAGTGAAGGGTGAGGTTCAGCCCACTGGGGCTGGGGGCCAGACGGATACCCATCATCAGCTCCAGGGGATGCGTCTCACCAGGAGCGACGGTCAAAGATCCTTCAGAGATGCATTTTCAGGACATCTCTGGAGAGAAGGATCTGAACAGGAGGTCAAGAGAAAGTCTAGGTCCAGTTGCTCATAGACTTTGTCCCACACCTGTCTGAGACCTTGTTCCTGTGCTGTAGGAGCCACCCTGACAGCAGACGGCTTCTGCCAACTCAGACGCTGGTATTAATAGTAATCAGAGATCACCCAATGGAAAAGTTCTTTTAGTCTGAACTGGTTTTTAAAAATAGATATTTTTCCTTTTTTCAGATTTTTTTTCAAACTGCCTGGTGTCTGGTTCCCGTTAGAATATTTCCGTTCATCCAGCAGACACCTGCACGCCCACTGTCTGCAGGACCCTGCGGCCCCCCGCCCCGCTTTAGAAGGGAACATGGCGGTGGGGGGGCGGGCAGGTGTCTGGAGGCTGGGTCTCCAGCTTTGCCTGCAGGCTGTACCACTGGTCCGGGGCCAATGGCCGCTGCCTTCTTGGGGCTCATTCGCTTTTAATCTACTCCCTGGTTCTCCAACAGGCCCCTGGTCCCTGTTCTGTTAAGGTTGTGAAAGCCTTATAGGGGGATCTTCCTGACACATGTTCCCACTCTGCCAGCTTTTCCACAGTGGACCGAATCCCAGCAGTGCTGGTGTGTCTGGTGGCCTGTCACTGCGTCTGAGCCTGCTGCTGGAGCCCACAGGGCTGACCCCAAGGAGAGAGAGAGAGAGGGGACAGTGACATCTTGGGACCCTGCCTTGGGCGCTCAGGATGGTGTCAGTAATCTTAACTTTATCATCAGCCTCGGGTGTAAGGGAAACTGACACGCACCGAGAGTACGATGTGAAATTTCCACAAAACCAAGACGAGAATGAGTTATGCAGTGTGTACATACACATCTGTTTTCCAGATGCTATGTTTAGCTTAACTGTGGCCTTAGTGATGGGTGGAGTTCATTTAAATACAGGCACGATAACGTGTGGCTGAGCTTCACAGAGTGCTTTAGCAAAAGTGCTTGATGTAGAAAAATCTTGCTTGATCTAGAAAAAGTGAAGAATTGAGTCACGAAAATGACTATTTGAGTAGCCTCCTTTAGAAGCAAAGCCCCCCTGCTCCCGAGGCTCCTGTGGCTCCTCACAGTGGCCTCACAAGGCCAGGAAGCCCACACCGGGCACACGGGGCAGGGGAGCCCCCAGTCCCTGCCACAGGGCATTGGAACCTGGGCCTGTGCGCTGGCAGAGCCCCGCTCCTGGGCAGCACGGCCATCCCTGGCATTTGGTGCCAGTTGAGGAGCTCGGCTTTGCAGAGAAAAGCTGATTAAAACCAGGCATCTGGTCAGAAACACCACAGTTGGCCTCGGTTGACACGTGTTAGAACTGTGACACTCTCCATTTTAATAGCATGTTTCACATTTGTTGTCAAACATGGAAGCAGTTCCTGGAAATCAGATGTTGTATCTTGAAGTCGAATTCTAAGGAACATCTCGCACGAAAGCAGGTGGTCATTGGGGTCTTGTCAATCTTCTGCTACACGGCAGAGGCACTTGTGGATGCAGGCGTGGGTTTCCATGATGTGTGGGACTGAGTTCTGAGGGGCCAGCGGGAAAGCTTGAATTTGCAAGTGAGAAAGTACCTCCGGGTGAGCACCAGCTTCTTGGTTTCTCTTCCCAGTATGACCTCACCCTCCTCCCTGTGTGATCTCACCCTCCTCCCTGTGTGATCCCACAGACCATTCACCCGTGCTCACCCTCCTCCCTGTGTGACCTCACCCCCCTCCCTGTGTGATTTCACCCTCCTCCCTGTGTGATCCCACAGACCATTCACCCATGCTCACCCTCCTCCCTCTCTGGCCTCACCCTCCTCCCTGTGTGATTTCACCCTCCTCCCTGTGTGATCCCATAGACCATTCACCTGTGCTCACCCTCCTCCCTCTCTGACCTCCCCCTCCTCCCTGTGTGATCCCACAGACCATTCACCTGTGCTCACCCTCCTCCCGTGTGATCTCACCCTGCTCCATGTATGATCTCACAGGCGATTTCCCCTGTGCTCACCTTTCTCCCTGTGTGATCTCACCCTGCTCCCTGTATGACCCCATGGACTGGCAGTGGGTTAGTGAAGGCATCTCCACAGTTCCTTCTCTGTGGAACTCAGACTCTCATTTGGGGTCAGTCACATGCCTGATGACCAGCCCCCATGACATGAATTCTCAGTGTGCACAGTGACACCCTGTATGTGTCAGGGAGGGAGCAGAGAAGCCAACCCTTGTCCACACAGCCTGTGGGATGCTGAGTGAGGGAGTGGCACGTGGGATAGGGCAGAACACAATGACAGCCAGGTCAGGGAAGGGGTGAAGCATGGAGGGAGCCCCCCCCACCCCGCCCCAGTCTGTCCTGCAGTTTATACTGATCTGGTTAGCTCAGCCCAGCACTGACCCACCCAAAGACGCTGTTGCTAGCAGAAATTTAGGGTCTTGGAAATATGAGAGCATTGATATTTAAAGTTTGTCTGTTGGTTCAAAAAAAGGGGGCGAATCTGAAAGGTTTAAGCTAAAATAGATGTATATTTTATTGCTAATCAAAGAGAGCTGGGGTGGGGCAGAGGGGAATGGCAGGGACATACTAGAGCCTCTGTCCCGGGGCAGCAGCACACTTGGGTGCCGTCACTTACAGTCCGCAAGGGACTCTGCCCAAGTTTCACTTACAGGTAAAGAAAGCAGACCGTTATCCCCACAGCTAAGAAGACAGCCGAGCCAAGATTCACATGTAGGCCCAGCAGCTGTAAGGCTGTGGTCCTCCTAGTAGCTAAAATCAAATAGATACTTAAGAAGAAAACCCTAGGGCAGAGTCCGTGGGATTCAGGTGGTGTGGGAGCTGGCTGGCACCCACAGTGGAGGAGAAAAGGGAAGATGCATGTAACCCCTGATCAGTTTATAAGCAGCTGCATACCCCGGGAAACCAGTTTTCTCATTGGTGCGGACTTGGAAGCACAGCATAATAAACACAGAACAGGCAGCTTTGTTAGCGGGAGTGTTAGAACACAGAAGCCGTGGCTGTTCTTGTAGCTCTTTCTTGATGTGAGATGAGCCGGGGGGCGGGGGGCTGTACCTGTGGACATGCATGTGCACACGTGAGCGTTTGTGTGTACCGCTAGAGGGGAGCGAGGCAAGCTGGCAGGGCCTAAGAATTCAGGAAGGTGTACAGGCGACACTTGTCTCAGCCCGCCCTCTGCATATCACATCTCTGGGCCTA